TGCCCCGATGATGATTATGTTGATGATGATGATGATGATGTTGCTGACGAAGATGATTGGGTCCCGATGAAGATGATGTTGATAATGATGTTCATGCTGATGATGATATGATGATGATGATGGTGCTCCGATGGTGATGATGATAATGGTGTCCCGATGATGACGACTTTGATGATGATGACGATGATGGTGTCCCGATGATGGTGGTGGTGATCCTGAAAATTATGATGATGGTGATGCTGTGATGATGGTGATGATGATGGTGCCCCGATGATGCTGATGATGATGTTGATGATGAAAATGATGATGATGTTGATGACGTTGATGACGATGATGTAGATGATGATGACGTTGATGGTGAGATCGATTGTTATACCGATAGTGAGAGCGATAGTGAGACCGACTGTGAGATAGATTGTGAGGTCGATAGTGATATCGATCGTGATATCGATTGTGAGATCGATAGTCAGATCGATTGTGAGATCGATCGAATGACATAGATCGAGTGAGATCGATAGTGAGATCGAGAGTGAGACCGATCGAATGAGACGTTGCCCCCCCCCCCCCGAACCTCCTTATCACCCGAACGGGTGGCCGTGTAGGTGTATATATATATATATATATGTATATATTAAAATCTCTCTCTCTATATATATATATGTATATATGTATATATGAAAGAACATGTTCTGCCGCTGGTGGCGGAAAAACGGGGGGGGGGGGCGCTGCCGGTTCGCGCCCCTCCCCCTCCCCCCCCAGGTCATCGTGAAAAGGGGGGGTGGGGGGTGCTCACTACCGGTCAGGGGCGCTGACAATGCTCTCGGGAAGCAGATTGCACATGCGAGGCGCCGCCCAACGTGGAACGAATTGCGTAATCTCGAGCCCGAGCATGGCAGGGATCGACCGCGCGAAAGAAATTCCTGGGAGGAGCACGGATGGAAGAATTCTCTTCAACTGCCGGGCCAGTGCCGAGAAGTGTCCTGTGAATGAGGCCCAGGAAAACTATGTCTCTTCGAGAACACACGGGAGCTAACTTGAATTGGTGGAGAGCATCCAAATCAACAGTGCCCACATTGCGGAGAAACGAGCTTTGAACGCGATCCGAAAAGGCCAAGAAGGAATTAGAAGCGCGCGTGAAAGCACAAGTTCTGTATTCGATGAATGAAACAATGCGCTTCATCTAACAAAACATACTCGGCATCTGTGCGAAAACGACTTATTTGTATTCCTGACTGCAGCCTCCAACCACATTCGTGCACATTGCTCTGCGCCGCATCTGTCATTATAAATCCCACCAGCCCTCTGGGCGTAGGTGGTTCCGGGAGTTTCCTCTTCCAACCTCCTTCTTCCCCTTCAGGGAGGGGTTTACCCCTCCCCTTAACCCCCTCCCCTGGACCTGGGCGGGGGGTTTCGCTGGTAGTTGGAGCGCCCAAAACGGCCTCGGCGAGGACGCCAAAATCATCGTTTAGCTCCTGCTCCTATTCCTCCTCCTACGCGTTCTTTTCTTCATTGGCCAAGTCGCGCGCGCGAGGTCGCACCCCGGCCCCCAAGCGCAGCGGCGCCAGAGGGAGAAAGAGGGTGGGGGGGCGGGACAGGCGGCCCCCCCTGTGACCCAAAAGGCTGCGGAGAAGACAAGGGGAGCAGAGGGGAAGTGAGACGGATGCAAGCAAGTGCGGAGGGAGGGTGCAAAGAGACTAACTACGCTTCACATGTGTGAATCCGCGTTAGCTCCTGCTCCTATTCCTCCTCCTACGCGTTCTTTCCTTCATTGGCCAAGTCGCGCGCACGAGGTCGCACCCCGGCCCCAATGCCAATGGAACGGAAAAGGGGGGTGGCCACGGTGCAGCGGGCAAGCGCGCCCACGTGGCCGCGCTCGATTCTCGGGGCCCGAATCGTCGACGACCCCTTGCGCGAGCAGGCCAGCTGCAACTTCGTCGCCCGACACGCGCGGTCGCGCGGACGTGACAGAGCGCCAGCCACCGCGGGGAAGCATGGCTTCGACTCCGGAGACCGCAAAGACGTCGCTCGCAGCTCCGCGCCGGACATCGTGCCCAAACCACACCTCGGGGTTGGCGACCCCGACGGCTTGCAAGTGGCGCCGGAATTCGGCCGTCCACGTCGCAGGCGTATGCCCGCCAAACGGAGGGCCCCCAGCTGCGATCGCATGGTCCCGCACAGGAAGCCAAAAATGCAAACAAGTGCCCTCGTCCGTGCCGCGCAAGCAAAAAGCATGAAGGTGCACAGATCCACCCGCTGCTTTCGCCGGATGGGGCCATAGACAAAACGCCCCGCATCGACCTGTACAAGATCACGCTTGAACTGCGCGAACAACTCAGAGGGCATCCGCAACAGAAAGTTGTATGCCAAGACGGCGATGACGCACCGCCACTGTCGCTGGTGCGCCAACGCATGGCGGAACAAACGCCGCAAAAAGCCGGCGATCAACCTTTTGCCTCGGCAGTCTGGGCGTCCGGCACTTCGCGGTGCCGAGCCTGATGCCTCTCAAAATGACATCTTGGTCACCCTGCCACGGCACGCCGGCCACCTGGTGCGCCAGGGCCCACGCGCTCAACCAACCGCGCTGCGTTGACGCGCGCGCGCACACCGCCGCGACGCGGCGAATGTGCTGCACGCTGCACCCTAGCGGGGGCTCACCCAAGAGCTCGGAAGCCCATGCAACCATGCGCAAATGCGACGCGTATGTAACTAGTGTAGACGGTACCGTTCTGCACAGAAACGGGCTCTCAGCAATTGTGTCGGCCAGCCGGAGCAGGTCCGCGCCTTGAGCACGAGCTTCGCTCATGGCCTGCAGCACCTCGCGGGGCGGGGCGCCATCTGGGTGCCTGAAAGAGCACTGCCTGTCCCGGCTCAGCGCCGTCATCATGTCGAGCAGGCCTCAGCGGGGCCAAGCACACGCGGGGCACCACAAGCAGTGGCCTGGGCCCCGCGGGGAGTTGCAGCAGCACGCGGGCAGCCGAGCGCGCTGCCGCTGCCCCCGGGCACAGCGGTGCAAGACTGCCCAGCTGGACCCCCCCTGGCGCAGCCTGGGGCCTCGGAAGGACCCTGGGCGATCGGCAACACAACCCGCGCGGTTGCCAGAGCGGGGCCCGACGGGGCCTGGAGCGCTGCCGCAGCGGCGGCGGCGCGGGGCGCGGGCGCCTGACGGGCCTGCTCCCGGCGGCCCTGGGTCTTGAGCCTGCCGTGAAGGGCCCGCGGCGGGGGGCGCACCGGCGCGCGCCTATGCAGGCGCGGGGCCGTGCGCCTGGCGGGGCGCGCGGGCCAGGGGCCGGACGAATGCGGGCGCGTCGAGCTTGAGCCTGGTAGCGCTGGGCGTCGTCGTCCGCCCGGTCGCCCTCTCCCCTGGGCCGGAAGGGGGGGAGGGAAGGAGAGGAGGGGGAAGGGGCGTGGAGGGGTTGCCAGAGCATCGCGCCCTCAGACTTCGCCGCGCTGCCACGGCGACGACTGCCCCGCAGGCCCTTGGAGCGAGAGGAGGCGGAGGGGGAGGGGGCGGAGGAGGAGGAGGAGGAGGAAGAGGAGGAGGAGGAGGGGGAGGAGGGGGAAGAAGGAGCAGCAGCAAGAGCCAAGAGGCAACAGCAGCAGCAACCGGCGGCGGCGGCAGCAGCAGCGGCCCCCCCTGTGACCCAAAAGGCTGCGGAGAAGACAAGGGGAGCAGAAGGGGAAGTGAGGCGGATGCAAGCAAGTGCGGAGGGGGGGGTGCAGAGAGACTAACTACGCTTCACATTTGTGAATACGCGTTTTACTAAGGTTTTGGCCCCATTTTGGCCCTTTGGGGGGGCAAGGTTAATTAACCCCACCCTCTTCTTTGATCGATCGCTTCCAAGATGGCCCCAAAGGGCGCCCAGGAGGCCCCAAGAAGCTTCCAAGAGGCCTCCAAGAGGCCCCCAGAGGCCGCCATGAGGCCCCAAGAAGCCCCCAAGGGGTTCCCAGGATGGTTCCAAGAGGCCTCCAAGAAGCTCCAAGAGGCCGCCATGAAGCTCCAAGAGACCCCCAAGAGGCCCCAAGAGGCCTCCAACATGCCCCCAAGAGCCCCCAAAGAAGATCCCAAGCGGCCTCAATAGGCCCCACCGAAGCACCCAATACGCCCAAGAGCCCCCATTGACCGCCAGAAGACCCCCAAGACGCCCGAAGAGGCTTCCAAAAGGCTTCCAAGAGGCATCCGAGCGGCATTCAACCATCCACCCAGCGTCATCATTCTCCGCGTCCCTCCTTTGCTCGGTTCCTCGCCACCCCCTCATCTATCCATCTGGCCTCCTCTTCCGCCTCATCCTTTGCACGGATCGGCTGTCCCCCTCGTTGCCCCCCCACTTCCCTGATCTCTTGAACTTGTCTGGACATCGTTTCTGGATGGGCTAGTGGGGATGCGCGAAGCGTCAAGAATTTACAATCGAACTCACCGCCTAAAATTTTGAAACTGTTCCTACCGGCCGGGTCCGTGAGACACCGCGCGAAATTTCTGTAGAAGGCTCGAAAACAACTGCGTTTTCACGGCCCCATTCATGCAGGCAGCACTGACACTGCCGCACCGACGCAAACACAGCAGCATCGGAGGTGGAGAAGAAAGGGACGAAAAGCATTTAAATCACCAGCGTAAATTGAAACAGCATTATGACGACGGTTCCCCGTTCGTCACTAAAAAACAAATTCCAAAAGGTTAGCCGAGCACAAAGCCCTGAAACACCATATCTGTCATTTCAACAACCGAACCGTCCACCGTCCTCGGCCACGGCGGGTCTTTTCCTTGGGAGAGGGGCGAGAAAAAAGGCTGCAAAGGCACTTTCGTGAGGGTTAAAGAGTGCAAGCACTGTCTACAACCCAACCGCCCAACGCGTCTCGGCCACGGCGGATCTTTTCCTTGTGGCCGGCGCTCGGGTCTCGAGCGAAATGCCTGGGCGGTCGCGCGCCGCGCAGCTTGCCGGCTTTGAGGTAGCCGGCGCACCTATGCACCGACACTCGCAGGCCTGCGCTTGAGACCGCCGCGCCTAAGCTGGGCTGCAAGCCCCTCGCGCAGCACGCTCAGGAGCCTCCGGCTGAAGGTCGTCTTCAGGGTCCCCGTGCAGGAGGTCGTCGCTGACGCCGCTGAGCGACCTCACCAGGGTCGCTGGCTGTGTAGATTCGGCACGACTCCAGGGAGGCCCGGCGTCCACGTGCCTGCGCATCTTCGATCTTTTGCTTGTGAACGACGGCGTCGTGAGAAGGCCCCGCGCGTCGAAGCCCATGAGGGGCCGCGCGGAAGCCGAGCGAGGCAGAGGCGGCTCGGTACTCCTTCTCCAAGGCGGCCAGGCGCAGCGACCTGAACACACGGTTGCTCGGCTCGAGGTTGCCCGCCAGCAGCTCCAGCACCCTGCAGACCCACTGCCTGTCGTGGGCCCCCGCCAGCACGCTGGCGTCGAAACGGCGGTTCTTGGGCGGCTTGGCGTCCTCCTCAGCCGGCGCCACGTTGATGGTCCAGCCTTGTGCTGCCGCCCCGGGGCGAGGCCGCCCGACGGCGCCGGCCGTGAGGTTGGGGCCCTCGGACGGCCGGAGGTTGCAGTCGAAGCTGAGGATGCCGTGGGCGGCGATGAGGGCCAAGCGCTGGCAGTTGTCGCCCACCGCTGGTCCAGGAAGTGGTCGAGCATGAGCAGCGCCAGCTCGATCGCGGGCGGATCGCGGCAGCGCTCTGGCGACGACCTCGCGAAGGCCAGGAGCGACAGCCGCGTCTTCGGGAGCAGGTCGGGCGAGCGGCGAGGCCAGTCGTTGACGAACGAGACCCCGTGGAAAGCATGCCTCGCCGCGGTCGCCGCCTCGCTCGCGCGGTAGAGGCCCTCGGTGTAGTTCGCCAGAACGAGGTCCCAGCCGGCGTAGTCGTCCTTCTGCGGCGGGCGGCCGACGGAGCGGACCGCGTCGGCGTAGCACCTCTCGTGCTTCTCGCGGGTCGCCGCCGTGGCCACCAGCTTGCGGAGGAACCCTGGCTCGGTGTCGTTGTGGCGCCGGGCCCGCTGCCCGCGCCGGGGCTGCCGGCCGCTATCGGCGGTGCTGCCCCAGGATGCTAAGCTCGGCGCCAAGGTCGAGCCCGTCCCAATGCTGGTCGGCCCCCTCCCACTCGAGCCGCGCGTGCCGCGGATCCGTCGGGGGCGCCGAGCAGCGTCGCCCGCCGCCTGAGCTGGCTGCCTGGCGGAGCGCGTCCTCCCAGCGGGGCTCCAGGCATGGTCGGCGCGCCCGCGTCGGGGCGGGATCCCGCATCGCTGATGCCACTGCGCGGCGAAGGTCAGGAGGGTAAGCCGCAGCCAGCGAGGTCCGCCACCTCCAGCCCCAGTCGGGGTGATGCACCTTGCCCTGGAGTGCGACGTGCCGCTGGCAGCCCGGGCAGCGTCGCGCGGCCGACCCGATCTCGATGTTGGAGGCGAGGCCGGTCGGCTTCTTCCAGGCGGCTCCGTAAGCGCACTGGTCGACCCGGTAGCACACGCACTTGAGACGCCTGAGCTGCTTCGTGAGGGGCTGCCACTGCCAGAGCCGCGAAGCCCACGGGTTCCCCACCGCCACGCGCGCGCCACGACGAGCACACGCGTCCAGCACACGCACCGAAAAGCGGGCGCAGGCCAAGCCGGCCCGCCCCACGACGCCCTCGTGTCGGGCGTGTCTGGCGGTGCTCCAGCGGGTGCACGGCGCGCCGAGAGCGACGGCCCACACCAGGCCGGAGTCGATCCAGTCGATGATGACGTCGGCGACCCTGGCCCGGCTGACGTCGAAGTGCGGCCCCAGGTCGATGTCCACCGCGGCGGCGACGGCAAGGCCCAGCGCGGCAACGCAAGCGGTGAGCCGCATGCACCCCGCGAACAGCTCGAGGAAGTACTGCTGGTGGCGAAGGGGCCGGCGGTCGGCCGGCTCTCTCGGCGGCCGAAGGCGGCGGCCTCTGGCCGCGGGCGGCCGTCGCTCCAGCGGGTCCGGCGGATCCGCTGGCGGGCGGCCGCAAGGGGCGTCGGCGCGAGAGCCGCCCGCGGTCGCCCAGCGTCGAGCTGGCGGGCGGCGGCCCCGCGCTGGACCTCGCCAGGCTGGAGGTGGGGCAGCCGGCTCCCGTAGTCGCTCGGGTTGCGGTGCGTCTCGATGTGGCGCCGAGCCCAGCGGGCGTTGCTGGCCGCCTGCCCTGCACCGGCACGTCGGACCAGCGCCAGGAGGTCCCACGTGCGCGACCCTCCCCGTCCTGTGGCCAGCACCTCGGGCATGTTGTCGCCGAGCGACAGGAGGGCGGTGGAGTGGTGGGCCGGGTCGGCGCAGTACCCCTCCAAACCCATGGGAGCGGCCCGGGCCTCGAGGTTGTGGATCTTGTTCTTGTCCGACCGCCTCCACTTGCCAACGATGACAGCCTCCCGCCGCCTCGGGTCCCCCACGAGCGGCTGGCACTCGGGCACGAAGCGCGCCCAGGCGTCGGCGACGTCCCGCAGCAGGTGCTCCCGGGCGAAGTCCGTGAAGTCACCGCGTCCGGGCCGCCGGCCAGCGCGCGTTGAAGCTCTCGACGTCGGTCGAGCCCGAAGGAATCTGGCTCGGACTCGCGGAACATCCAGCGCTCATGGTACTGAGCTGCGCCCCAGGCGGGCCCCGACGCGCGTCTGGTGCGCCGCGAACCCATGCTCGGAGGCGTCGGAGCGGAACGCCACCTCCGCGATGCTCCGCCCGAGCTCGACCGCTGCCAGCGGGAGGGGCCCCTGGATGACGCGGAGCTCCTCCAAGGTCGCGGTGTCGAGCCTCCGCGCGGGGCCGGCCCCGTCGCCGATGAAACGGTAGACGGAGCAGAGGCAGGACAGCAGCTCCCGCCGTGCCGAGAAGTGGTCGACGAGGTGCTCCACCACGCGGCGCATCTGCGTGGGCGCCAGCGCGGGGCGGAGGAGCAGCTCGTCGAGCGCGAACCGCAGCCGCCACATGCGCCGTCGCCGGGGAAGCAGCATGCGTCTCCTGCCGCGGATCTCCCTGCCGACGAGCTCGAACTCAGGTCGGGTCTCGAGCTCCTCGTGGAGCGCGAAGCCGGGGCGCAGGAGCTCGGCGCGGAAGGCGTCGTAGCCGCGACGCGCGGCCTCGGGGGGGCCGGCGATGATGTTGCCGTTGTCCACGTACGGCGCGATGACGACCGAGTCGCGGCAGAAGGGCGGCGGCGGGGCCCAGTCGGCGAGCGTGGCCGTCGGCTGGCCGAGGCTCGCCAGGGCCCGCCGAGCCGCCGCCTCGAGCGCCCCGTGGCAGTCGGCAGCCCGCCGAAGCACGCCCAGAGACGGTCCTCCGGGCCGACCTCCACGTGGCCGCCCGTCTCGTCGCAGTAAACGGTCGTGACGCCAGCCTCGGCCGCGGTGAACGACTCCCCGAGGGAGAACCAGCTGGCGACCGAGTCGACCCTGAACTGGAACCCGTCCTTGAGGTCCATCCCGGCGCAGGCGATCCAGGGGCCCGTCCAGCGCGTCGTGGGGCCCCAGCGCCTCCGCCGACAGCTCGCACCACTCGTCCGAGAGCACGAGGTTGCCAAGCGCCCCCAGCGTCGCCAGGTGCGACTTGGGGGCTCGACGGCGGAGCTGGTTCGTCGTCCTGCAGTCCAAGACCAGCCTGATGGCGTCGTCCTTCTCCCCGACGAAGAACGCGCCGCACTCGGCGCGGGCCCTGAGCCTCCAAGCCACCAGCCCCGCCTTGTCGAGGCGCTGGATGAACTCGCGCCAGGCCGCGCCTGGCTTGGCGAAGTGCTGGTCCCAGTGCGGCTTGACCGGCGTGTCGATCGCGGCCAGCTCGTCGGGCGGCAGCGCGATGAGGTTGTCGGGGTCCTGGGGGTACCTGCGGCACTCGCCCCCCGCCACGTCCAGGGCATCCAGCGGAAAGGGGCCCCGCTCGAGGACCCTGAGCTTCGAGGCGTCGTAGTCCGCCTGGGTGGTGTCCAAGTCGTAGATAAACTTGCACTGCAGCAGCTCGGCAAGCGTGCCAAGCGGGAACTCCTTCGACGCGGCGGGCGCCGGCGCGAACTGCATGGCTGCTCTGGCCACGTTGCGTGACATCGCGTCCTGCGCGGCCGTGATGTCAGCATCAAAAACACGGCGAGGCTCCTCGGCACGAAGAACCCTTCCCGGCTGGCAGCGTGCCAAGGCGTTGAGAGACGCCACAGCCCCTTCGACCGGCGACTCGCTTCTGGCGCGCCGCGCTGCTGCCGGGCAAGGTGGCGCACGCCACCTCGACTCTCCGCCACCTGCCCAAGGCGAAGCGGTAGCGGAAAACGGAAAGCCCCGACGGTCGAGGCTAGCCCTTGTCCTTGTCCTTCTCGCGGGCCCCGCCCTTGTCGTTGGTGCGGTTGCCGCGTCGCTTGTCCTCCTCTTCCTGGTGCAGGCGCTGCTGCTTCATCGCGAAGGCGGCCGACTTCTGCTCCTCCGCCGTCCAACGCGCGAACTCCCCGGACAGCGCGCCGCCGGACGAGTCCAAGGTCGACATCGCCATCAGGTCGGTCCCGCGGAAGTCCGGGTTCTTGGGGTTGCGCTTCGTCGCCTGATGTATCTGGAGGATGAGCCGACCGAGCATGTCCGCCGACGAGAGCTGGCCCAGGTTCAGCTGGTCGAAGCTCAGCATGTGGTGGAGAACCGCAATCAGGTCCCCGTGCTTCAGCGCCACCAGCGAGTCCGGGTTGACCCCCGACGCGCGCGCCCAGAAGTCGTGGAACCCCGCGAGCTCCTCCCTGGCCGCCCTGGCCGCCAGCAGCACCTCGCGGATCGCCGAAGGCGCGGGCGCCGGGAATGGCCAGTCGGCCGGCGCCTTGCCCGTCTCGAAGAACTGCATGAGCGCCAGCCCCTCGCGCATCGAGAGGTACCTCGCTCGGCCCACCTCGCGGTGGACCGAAAGCACGGGGGGGTCTCGCCCAAGCCCCGACCTCTTCTCCTCCAGCCACTCGTCCAAGTCCGGGTCGCCGACCTTCTCCACGAAGGTCCAGAAGGTCTCGCCACCCTCCTCGACCTCCGCCGGACCGGTGGCCCCTCTCGCCTGGGGCCGCAGCGGGTTCCTGGTGATGTCCGGCGGCACGGTCTCCCCGAACTTCTCGTGCGCCGTGTCGGCGAAGCGCCACTCCGCCGCCAGCGCCCCAGCGGTCGGCGCGGCCCCCAGCCCGGCTGGCGCGGCGCCCAGCACGTTGCCCAGCGCGTCCGCCTCCAGCTTCACTGTGGCGAGCTCGTCCTCCGTCAGCGCGTCGGCGGCGTACAGGTTCCTTCGCACCCGTGCCGGTGCTGGAGCCCGCCTCGGGATCGGCACCGCGATGTAGTCGGCGAGGTTCACCGCGACCACGTCCAGGTCCGGTGTCCAGCCGACCCAGCGGCCATCCGCCAGGCGCACTCGTAGCACTCTCACGTGCCAGCGGAAGTTGGGATCGTCCTCGAAGTTGATCGCCACCTGCGGCTCTGGGATGTCCAGCGACAGCCGCGCCGCTGCCGCCGCCGCCATCTCTCCTCAGGAGCTCTTCTAGCGGCGGCGCGACCTCCACGCAGGCGCCTCCGCCCCAGAAGCCGCGTCCCAGCCCGACGAGGCAGACGAGCGCGGCGCCCCGGCTGGAGCCCCGGCGCGGGAGCCGCGGCTGGCAAGCGCCTCCTCCAACGCCGCGAGGCCGAGGCGAGGCCCCGCAGCAAGGAGCTCCTCCGGCACCCCCGCGTCCAGGCGGCGCCGGCGGCGAAGCCCGCGAAAGCGTCTGGGGGCGACCTTGGGGCGTCCCGGGTCTGTTCTGGAGCCTCTTGGGACCTCCTTGGCGCCTTCTGGCGGTCTTCTGTGAAGCCCCGGGGCTCCCCGAGGGCACCGGGGCTCACATTTGCGGCCGTCTTGGGCCCTTCGTGGGCCGTCCTGGAGCTTTCTGGGGGTGTATTGGGGCCTTGTGGGGCGCGTCCTGGGCCGTATTGGGGCGGTCTTGGGAGCTTCTGAAGTCGTCAAGCACGGACCGACAGCGAAAACAAACAATATGTTAAACATATACGTTTTACGAAGGGAACGGGGCTATTTTGGCCCCTTGGGGCTCTCTTTGGGGCCCTATTGGGGGTCGCTTGGGGTGTCGTTGGGGGGCTTCTGAAGCCGCCTTGGAGGCCATGTTGGGCGTCTGGGAGCGACCTTCGGGCGTCCCGGGTCTGTTCTGGAGCCTCTTGGGACCTCCTTGGCGCCTTCTGGCGGTCTTCTGTGAAGCCCCGGGGCTCCCCGAGGGTCCCGGGGCTCACATTTGCGGCCGTCTTGGGCCCTTCGTGGGCCGTCCTGGAGCTTTCTGGGGGTGTATTGGGGCCTTGTGGGGCGCGTCCTGGGCCGCATTGGGGCGGTCTTGGGGGCTTCTGAAGTCGTTAAGCACGGACCGACAGCGAAAACAAACAATATGTTAAACATATACGTTTTACGAAGGGAACGGGGCTATTTTGGCCCCTTGGGGCTCTCTTTGGGGCCCTATTGGAGGTCGCTTGGGGTGTCGTGGGGGGGCTTCTAAAGCCGCCCTGGAGAAGCCATGTTAGGCGTCTGGGAGCGACCTTCGGGCGTCCCGGGTCTGTTCTGGAGCCTCTTGGGACCTCCTTGGCGCCTGCTGGCGGTCTTCTGTGAAGCCCCGGAGCTCCCCGAGGGCCCCGGGGCTCGCATTTGCGGCCGTCTTGGGCCCTTCGTGGGCCGTCCTGGAGCTTTCTGGGGGTGTATTGGGGCCTTGTGGGGCGCGTCCTGGGCCGTATTGGGGCGGTCTTGGGAGCTTCTGAAATCGTCAAGCACGGACCGACAGCGAAAACAAGCAGTATGTTAAACATATACGTTTTACGAAAGGAATGGGCGTATTTTGGCCCCTTGGGGCTCTCTTTGGGGCCCTATTGGGGGTCGCTTGGGGTGTCTTGGGGGGGCTTCTGACGGCGCCTTGGAGGCCATGTTGGGCGTCTGGGAGCGACCTCCGGGCGTCGCGGGTCTGTTCTGGAGCCTCTTGGGACCTCCTTGGCGCCTTCTGGCGGTCTTCTGTGAAGCCCCGGGGCTCCCCAGTGGAGGGGGCATCTGGGACTATTTGGGAGCTGTTTCTTTCTCCTCTCTTTCTCTCTTTCGCTTTCCTCCCCTCTCTCATTCTATCTTCCTGTCTCTATCTCTCTGTATCTCTCTGTCTCTCTCTCTCTCTCTCTGATCTCTCTCTGATCTCTCTTTCGCTCACTCTTGTCTTGCTCTTTATGCTTTTAAACCTGTACGGCATATTTCTTCCTATGTAATTTCGTTTTCCCTGTTGCTCCCGACGCATCTCCGCACTCTTTTTATATGTCTAGCAATGCCATCGGACATTTCACTACTACTACTACTACTACAACTACTACGACTAATGTTAGTCTTACTCTTCCTCCTCCTACTACGACTACTAGTAGTAGTAGTAGTAGTACTACTACTACTACTACTACTACTGCTACTACTACTACTACTACTACTACTACGACGACTACTACAGCTACTAAAATTACGTCTACTAGGGCTAGCACTACTGCTACTACTACTACCACTACTACTACGGATACGATTAGCTACTACCACTACTACTACTACTACTACTATTACTACTACGACTACTATTACTACTACTACTACTACTACTACTACTTCGATTCTTCTTTTTCTTACTACTACTACTACTACTACGACTACTACTAGTACTACTACTTCTACTACTAGTACTAGTACTAGTACTACTACTACTACTACTACTACTACTACTACTACTAGTATGTACTACTACTACTACTAGTACTAACTAGTACTATAGTAGTAGTAGTAGTAGTAGTAGTACTACTACTACTACTACTACTACTACTACTACTAGTGCGATTACGAGTACGACTATTACTAATACGACGACTACTACTAGTACGATTACTGCTATTATTACTACTATTATCACGTTTCTACGACTACTACTACTACTTCTACTACTACTACTGCTACCACTGCTACTACTAGTATGACTATGACTACTACTACTACTACTACTACTACTACTACTACTCCTACCACTACTACTCCTACTACTACTAGTACTACTAGTACTACTCGTACTACTACTATGACTATGACTACTACTACTACTACTACTACTACGACTGCTACTACTAATACTACTCGTACAACAACTACTAGTACTACTCGTATTGCGACTACTACTACTACTACTACTACTCCTACTACTACTACTACTACTACTACTACCACTACTACTACTACTACTACTACGACTACGACTACGACCACTACTACACATACCACTACAACTACTACCACTACTATAACGTTTACGATTGCTACTACTACTACATACTACTACTATTACTATTACTACTACTACTACTACTACTACTACTACTACTACTACTACTCCTACTACTACTACGACTAGGATTATTTACTACTACCACTACCACTATCACTACTACCACTATCACTACCACTACTACCACTGCTACTACTGCTACTACTACTACTACTACTACTACTACTACTACTACTACTACTACTACTACTACTACTACCACTGTTACTACTACTACGACTACTACTTTTATTATTACTACTACTACTACTATGACTACGACTGCGACTGCGACTACGACTACTACTGCGCCGATCCAAAAGTTTCCCCAATTTCGCCACCGCGCTCGCCGCGGCCATCTGGGGTGGCGCGCGCAGGATAAGACCCGCGGGGCCCGAGGGCGGACGGGGGCGATGTCGCGAGGGCAGAGCCGGCGCGCCGATGGTCAGCCCAGCGCCCCGTTTGGCCGGACTGGCCCAGCACAATGCAAGGGCAGAGCCTAACCCCCGCCTGGGGTCGCGGGCTCGGGTTCGCCTTCCCAATTTAAAACTTTAAATCCCAGCCGGTGTACTGACCCGAAAATGAGCAAACGGCATCGGACCTCCTCGAAAAAAGCTTTCGGGTTCGGTCATGCGACGACCCGAAAAGTTTACCCGCCGACCTGAAAGTGGCCAAATGCCATAGGACTTGTGCGGCTCAGTGCGTTGGCGCGGGCAGGGCGGCTCACTGCTTGGCCCACCAGGTCTTCCACCGGTGCAGCTCCTTGGCGATCGCCGTGTTGTGCTTGAGGGAGTTGCCGGGGTCGGTGTTCGCTTTGGCGTGTCTCGTCTTGAGGTCCTGGATTGGTGGCGGATTTTGTAATCACTGTTGATTGCGTGAATGCGCTGACATCAATGACAGTGTATTATTAATGAAATTTCAACAAAAAACTTTTCAGAACCTGTAGCATCCTCGTGCTTCTTGTGCGAAGCCTGGTAGGCTTTCTCCAAGGCGTCCGCGCGGCTCTTCTGGCCGAGCTTCGCCCGGTAGTGCTGGTTCGCGCGCCTCCTGGTGGGCGTCGCGCGACATGTGTTTGTTTGCTTTTGTTGTCTGTTTCAAAAAGAAAAAAGTTATCGTCACCATCGTGTGTGCGCGTGGAAATTTACCACCCTAGGTCTTGGCCGGCTCGGCGTCGCGGCGGGCTTCGGCAGGCCTGGTTTTCAGAGGCTTCACCGCCGCTCGGGCCGCCTTCAACATCACCTCTCGGATGAGCGGCTTCTGCAGGAAGGCGGCCGCGCGCTTCTCAGCGAGCCGCAGCTTGTTAGCCTGAGAAGCTATTCCATAATATCTGCTCTTTTTCTGGTTGACTCTCCCCCAAGAGTTGTTAACTAGGTGGTACTTTGCTTGCTAGTGTTTTGGTTCCTATGGGCCTTGGGCTTCTCTGTGTACGCCTTCGTGCCCCTCTTGGGATTGCCCATGGCTCTGCTGAAGCAGGCTGCGGCGAAGCACTGGAGGAGCGCTGGGCAAACCAAAAAAAAACGAGCAGCATGGCAAGCAAAGGAGGGATGAGAGAGAAGGACATAATCAGGCGGGCGGCGATGAAGATGACAGCGAGGAGCAATAAGAGAGGAAGTAGGGGGTGACGACAAAACTATAATCATCTACTGATTTCACTACCGATATATCAATATCAATCTCACTGTCAGCCCTGGAACCTACTAGAAAAGCCCCGGGACCCCCTGGGAGGAGACCCGGAGGCCCCTTGAAGCCCCGGAGGCTCCTAGGGAGATTCCGGAGCCCCCTGCTTAGATGGGTGTGAAGTTATAAGTGGTTATAGTATAGGTAAGTGGTTCTATTTTAAGAGAAGTTTGGATGTGTTAGGATTGGTTAGGAGGCCCAATAGGTTCCATAGGAATGCTGATAGTGTAGTCCCCGATAGCCCCCCCTGTGTTTCACTATAGGATCTATAGGAGCTTACAGTGTCCTATCATCAGCATTATTTCCATTATTTTTTTCACTATTTTTTCCTTATACATATATCTATATAGTTTTTTTTGCTCTCAAAACTCAGACATTGGAACAAGTCTGACCGACGCCAGAACGTTGTGCTCCAAGGGGGAAGAAGGAGAAG